AGTCCTTGGATGCAGCAGGCAGATCTGCTCACCGAGAGGAGCCACCCACTGCCTCTTCTACAACTGAGGTTGTCTTGGCTTGGTTGGACCGGGTATTCCAGGCCCCTCTGCCTTGGTTTGCTGGGGCTTTGTTGTGTCTCTCCTGTCACTAGTTTGGAGCTGTCGTTGGGGGCGTTGCGGGGAGGTCACAGCTCTAGGCTTGACCCTGGCTGCAATTTTAGGAGCTGGGATTAACTGTTGATTACCTCCCAGGCCTTCTCTGCAGAGTGGCCTGCACACAGGCAGGCCTCATGACTTTCTCTCTTTGTCTCCGCTCAGACATCACCCTACAGTGGCTTATCCAACACTCAAAGTCACGGAGAAGCTGAGGCTGTGGCTCTCCTCCTTCGGACCAGGGACCACAGTCACCGAACCGGAAGCCGAGCTCCCCGCCCAACCCTGTTGTCTCCCCTAAACCCACTTCTCCTCACCCAGTGTGGGGAGGGCCCTCTGGGGCTCCTAGAGTCCCATTCTGCTGAGGTTTGAACTCCTGTTTTTATTGTAAAATAAATTTCGCCCCATCCGGTCCCCTCACCTCTCTCCCTTTCTCTCTGTCCCCTCACCCAGCCCCGCCTCCCTCCCCTCCCGACAGCCCTGGCCCCGCAACCTGTCCTCACCTCTGTCCCGTCCTCTGCCTCCCTTTTCAACACTGTTTTTGTCCTGTGTGTACAGTATATATATGTATATATATTTTAATTTTTTAATTTAAGCAAAGACTTAAGATCAACCATTTGATGCTGCAGGGGCCAATCAGGACCTGGGAGGGGCAAACTGGCAAGATGGGAAGAGGTGCAGGGTCCACTTGGGGCAAGTTCAGATGCAAAAAAGGTGGAGGCTGGCACTTGGGGCAGGTACCAGCCTGGCCACTGGTGATCGTCCCCGTGTCCCGTAAAGTATTTCTGTCTCCCAGAATAGGGCCTGGATCCTCAGGCCAACGGGAGCCTCCTCTTCTGTCCCCAGCCTTGGTAGGGCCACCAGGCGTAACCAGGTAGCAGAGGCCGCCAGGCTCAAGTGGGAGGAGCCAGTGTCCATGCCATCCCAGTGACCCCGCCCCCCTCCTCACTCTTCCTGGGCCCCAGCTCCTGCCTCTCCCCAGGGCCCCCACCTCCATGGCCCATTTCACTTTCTGTTCTCATTTCGCAGAGTGGTACAAGGAGAGAACTCAGCATGGGGGGTCGGTTCTTGGGGTTTTGTTTGTTTGTTTGTTTGTTTAATTTAATGATTTGTAAAGTGATGCTCCTCTTCCTTTTTAACTACACTTTTCAGCTCATATTTAACCTCTGTTTGGAAAATGATTCTTGTAACTGTACATTTTTTTTTTTTGCCTCCTAATAATGACAACAATAAATTACCAATTTTGTGTTGGGGGCGTGTATGGTGCCGCAGTTGTCTTCCACAGATGCCCCTGGCCAGCAGACGCACAGGGACGGCAGCACCCCTCACACAGGGAAGGCCACGGGGTGCCACACCCACCGGGAACACGTGCTCACACTGGAAACACAATGGCCTGTCACCAGACAGCCTCCCACGCGCACGTGAGTCTGGGCTGTGGCGTCGCCGCTTCTCATTCATCGCAGGCTCGTGTAGCCGGCCGCTGCCAAGTGCTTCTGAGCAGGGAGTCAGAGGAAATGCTCGGACCCGGCCCGTGCTTGCCGTGTTCAGACAGAGTTGCTGTTTCTTGGCGGCCGCGTCGACCCACAGCCCCTCTCCATGCCATGCCTGCCTGTCCCCCTAGAGTCAAAACTGGATGAGTTAATACCTGATCCAGGGGCTGGAGAGCTGACTCGGAATTTAAAAGCAAAAGTTGAGCCGGAACCAGAATTCTGCCCCTACCTCCTCATTCCCAGTCTCCACCAGGAAGAAATCAAATGTCCTCCAGGGGTATCCCGGGCCTGCAGAGTCTCTTCCGCTCTCCTAGCGTCCATACTACCGGTCTCTTGGAAAGGGTCCAACCATTACTCTGGACAGAACTCCTACCTGCCCGGGGGCCCTCCTTGGTTCAACGTGAATCCAGCCTTAGCTAGTTGTACACTGACCCCCCATCTCCTGGACACTGCCCCCCCCCCCCCCCCCGCCTCTTGTTCTGCCTCCCTTCAGCCTGGCAAATAGACTGGAATCGTGCCCCGTAGAATGTCTTCACCCTGCCTCTGCAGGAAGAAGCAGCCACCTTGGTCCCTGGTTTATGAGGGGACTTGGCCTAGGCTACTATCGATCCGTGAATAGACTCAGCCTTGAGGAGGCTTTCCTCCTGCTGAGGGAATGTGAAGAAAGTGTCTGGGGATTTAGCTCTGTGGCAGAGCGCTGACCTAGTGTGCAGTAGACCAGGCCCTGGCTTCCACTGACTGCGTGAGGAGAAGGCGTGAGGAAAACTGGATGGAGTTTGCCACCAGCTAACTGATTCTCAGGAGCTTCCCAACCCCCTAAGAGTAAGGTGTACCCCTGGGCTAGGAAGGAGGATGGTGGGCCCAGGCTATGTCTCCTGCCCTACATCTGGGAGAGGACCATTGTTCTCATCCACTGGGAGGTTTCTACACTGAGCTGCTTCTCGGGGCCTGTGTCCTCCAAGTGAGATTCAAGAGAGAAGATGAGCTGATGATCAGTCCATGAAAATCATTGCCCTGCACAGGGAATTCATGCAACAGACGTGCAGGAGGGCCCAAACAACCTGTTCCTTGACTAGGGAACCAACCATGTATGTATAGAAACCATCCTGTGTGGGTTCTCTGATGCCAAAACTGGATGAGTTAATACCTGGCCAAGGGCTGGAGAGCTGGCTCCCAGTTTAAGAGCATGTTCTGCTCTTACAGAGGACATGGGTTTGGTTCCTGGCGCCCATGTCAGGTGGCTCCAGGAGTGAACACTTCTGACCTCTGCAGGCTCTGTACCCCTGTGCATGTACCCCACAGATACACACACACACACACACACACACACACACACACACACACACACACACTTAAAAATGATAAAAATAAACATTAAAACATACCCGGCAAAGTCTACTCCATATTGCTAGAGATTTGGATTCTCAAAGGCATGGAGCCTTGCTTATGCCAAGTGCTTAACACCCCCATCTCTCAACCCCTTTTTTGGTGATGGAGGTGGAGCCCAGGGCCTTGAACGTGCTAGGCAAGCAGTGGACCACTGAGCCCCAGCCCCAGCACATGGCATATCCAGCCTCATAATGGCCATAGGCCTCTGTGAAGGAGAGGTGGTTTCCCCGAGTGGGAAGCTGAAACGGTTGTTAAGCAGGTCTACTCAAGACCCAGGGCAAAGGATAGAGATGAGCTAGGACGAAGATACCCCATGGGGGCATATCTGAGGGCACCCGCCCCCACCCGGCATCTGTCGACTGGCCCCCTGCTGTGGACGTCAGCATCTCTTTCTGAGCATCCCAGCTCAAGTCCACTGCCCACTCTCGAGCCAGCCACCCCACCCCCAAAGCCTGGGACCCCTGAGCAACAAATCCCACATTGTTCCCCAGCTGGCTCAGGCTGGAGGAATAATGGCTCTTTCCCAAGGCTGGCTGGCCTGCTGACTGGTTTTGTAAGCCATTCACGTCGGCAGGCTTGGAAGGTGGCCGCAGCGTAGGGTCTCGGGGCCACCATCTCTCCCCCTTCAGCTCTGGGCCAGCCAGCGGGCAGGAGGGAGGTCCAGAGTGTGCCCTTTGTGGAAGAGGCTACCAAACAGGATGCTGATCCACCACCACCACCCCTCCGAGCCTTCCATTCCCTGACTTCACCTCACATCACCCCGGCCCACCCCTCCTCCCTTCGGAAGCCATTGGTGCGTGCAGGACTGGGGTGGGGGCAGAAGTTGGGGAAGCAGAACCTTTCTGGTCCTGTTCAACGTGGGCCCACCTTTGCTCCCTGTCCAGCTACCACACACACACACACACACACACACACACACACACACACACACACAAAGTTTCTAAAGACGAAGCTGGCAACTTTGGTCACTGTAGCAACAGGTCTGCCGAGAAATGGGTGGGTGTCCTTCTCCAGCACAAAGGGTGTGCGTATGGCAGCTCCATCACTTAGCAACAGCCTCCCTCTCT